TGCACATTTTCCCCAAAGGGAGGTAGAATAGTCCCAGGTAGCTTCTCTCCTCTAATTCCAGTAAAATGAGAGATGATGTCGCTTTCCAGTTAGACTGTGATTAGTTTTTTGCACAGATGTGACATAGATTTTTCTGTAATACCGGCTGGCACCAGAATCACTGCGATAACATGGGTTAATGCGTGTAGATTTGCCAACGCACGGTCTGCCTCTATGAGCCTTCACCTCATGACTTCCAATTTGGGAATTAGAATGTTTTAACTTTTTTGTTGATGTAACGTGCATACAGACAAGTATACATCCTAAGGATATGGCCAGATGGACTCTCAACACGCAGGTCAGGAGCACAACCACCCCAGTACCTGTTGTCTTCTGTGTATGGGGGGCTGCTGCCAACACCCTTGCTTGTGTCACTTGTGCACAAGTGTGTGTCTTTGCCAAATCCAACAGCATAACTTACCCTTCGTTTTCTTCTAAGAGTTTTATGGTGCTAATTTTATGATTTTTAATCCATTGTGAGCTAATTTCTGTATATGGTGTGAGATAGGGGTCCAACTTTATCCTCTTCCATGTGGATGATCAGTTTTCCTAGAACCCAATTTTGAAGACACTGTCCATTCTCTACTGAATGGTCTTGGCACTCTTGTAGAAAATCACCTGACCATATGTGTGCGGGTTTATTTCTGCCCTCTGCTTTGTGTGTCTCTCTTGATGCCAGTGCCACACTGTCCTGACTGCTGTTGCTTTATAGTAAGTTTTGAAAATGGGAAGTGTGAGTCTCCCAACCTTGTTCTTCCAGATTATTTTGACTGTTCCCTTGAGATTCCGAATGAATCTTAGGATCAGCTTGTCAATTTCAACAAAGCCATGTGGGGTACTGGTGGGGATTATGGGGAATTTGTAGGTCAGTTTGGGGACTGTTACCATTTTAACAGTAGTATGTCTTCCTATCCATGAATGTGAGATGTCTTTCTATTTGTTTGTCTTTTTACGTTTTTCAATGATGTTTTCTAGATTTTAGAGCATAAGACTTGCACTTCTTTTGCTAATTTTACTCCTAAGTATTTTATTCTTTTTGATAGCATTGTAAATAGAATCTTCTTGAAATCACTTTCACGTTTGTTGCTAGTATATGAAAACACAGTAGATTTTTGTACATCGATCTTGTATCCTGTGACCTTGCTGAACTCATTTATGAATTCTAATAGTTTTAGTAGATTCCTGAGGATTTTCTATATACAAAATCAAGTCATCTATGAATAGAGATAGTTTTCCTTCTTCCTTTCCTATCTGGATGCCTTTTATTTTCCTTTTCTTGCCTGAGTGCCCTGGCCAGCATCCAGTACCATGTCTGACGGAAGTGGTGAGAATGGGCACCCTTGTTTTTTGTTCCTTATCTTAGGAAAAAGCATTCAGGCTTTCACTGTTTAAGTATGCTGTTAGTTGTGAGTTTTTATAGATGCCTTTTATCAGGTTAAAGGAGTTCCCTTATATTCCTTGATTGTTGAGTGTTTTAGTAACCACATACAGCTACATTATTTTCCAGTTATGGTAGTTGGTAACACTGTTAAGACAACATGTGTTCAGCATTTTGGAAATAGTGTACTGTCATGTGCATATAATGTTTAGGTCAGTGACACCATGTATACAAGGTGGTTCCATAAGATTATAACAGCTTATTGTTACTGTACCTTTTCTATGTTTAGATACACAAATACTTACCTTGTGTTAAAGTTGCCTGCAGCATTCAGTGCAGTAACATGCTGTACCGGTTTGTAGCCTAGAAGGATAGGCTATGTACACACAGCCTTGGTGTGCAGCAGCCCGTGCCATCTAGGGTTGTGTGGGTGCTCTCCATGACGGTCACATAGTGGTAAAATTGCCTGACCATATCCCCATCGTTAAGTGACACATGACTGGCGTTTGCTTAACTTTTTTCCCCAGTTGATGAATATTCTTTCGGGTTTTCTTCACGGCTGCAAGCTGTGTGTTGGTCAGCATTCAGCCAGTAGCTTTGGGCCAGCTGTGGATGCCAGCCATTGTTCTCAGGGCTGGGGATGTGGCAGTGGCAAAGGCCAAGCCTCTTTGCCTTCCTGGAGTTCCTAGCTGGAGGAAGAGGGTTAAAGTAAACCCTTCTGTGCAGAGGCTGGTGCAGGTGGTGTGAAGGCCTGTAAGGTAGATGGCTCTGGTATGGCCGGGAGATGACCTGTCCTGCACTTCCCAGGGCCCATCCTGCATGGACGAGTGGGCATGGCTGCGTCCTTTTTGCTGCCGCAGTCCTCGTCCACCTGTGTTCTCAAATGTGGCCCAGGACTCCCTCACCTGCTGGCCTCTCTTGGCCCCTCCCTGCATCTTCACACTCCCGGGTTCCCTGGCCCCCTCGCCTGCCGTGGCCCCCCGAGCAGGTGTCTCCTGGGGCTGGCCCTGGGCTTTGGGGAGTGGAGGGCCGGTGTCGGCTGGCTCGTCTCACAGCCAGTTGACCGGGTGGTTTCTGGGCAGGAGTGGCGGCAGCACAGACAGTGAGGACGAGGAAGAGGACGAGGATGAGGAGGATGAGGAGGGCGATAGCCGGGCAGCCTGTGAAGGGACCACCCGCCCCTCCTGTCCCAGCCCCAGCCCTCAGCCCTCAGGTGAGTCAGGGGAACTGTGGCCAGGTTGCCTGCTTGCCACCAAGCTCACCCTCCGTCCTGCCTGCATCATCCTAGGCACCAACTGGACAGCCACCTTGGACCCAGTGCCTACGGACGCCCCGGCTAGCCCCCACGTCTCTGGGGAGGAGGAGCTGTGCTCTGGGCTCCCAGCCCCACAGGGGCCCTCCGACATGCCCCAGGTCTTCCCTGCCCAGAGCCTGGCCAGCCCTCCAGCCCACGATGCCCCGCAGCTCAGGTGAGCATGGGGCCTGGTGGATGGCTGCATCCGGGAAGCTGTTGCCGGGTCCCGGTCCTCTCTTAGGCTCCAGTGCTGACTGCAGCTGCCCCTTGGGGCTGCCCCTCTCACCTGACAGGTCTCAGGACCCCGTTCTCCCCATAGCACCTCAGGAAGCCACAGATGGCAGCAAAGTAGCGGAGCCCTCAGGTGAGTCTGCTTGGACCCTGCCCACTAGTGGCCTAGGCAGAAAGTGGCCTGGCCAGCTCTGAGCCTGCTGGGAAGCAGGCGCTGAGTCATGGTCTCTCCTCCACAGCCCCCTGCCAGGCCTTGGTCAGCTTCGAGGACCACCAGGCCACCCTCCACAGGATTTGCTCCGCCCCCAGCTCCTCGGACAGGTGATGGGGGTAGGGGAGCTTCTGAAGGGAGAGCAGGTGCCAAAAGCCTTTCTCCTCCTTGGTGAGGTAGATTCTGGGTTCATCCTGTCCCTGAGCTGTTCCAGGTCACCCTTGCAAGACCCCTCAGGCCCAGCCTCTGTTGGCCCCTGTACCCGACAGGCTGTTTCTTTGAGTAGCCTGGACTCACAGGGCCCCTCGCAGCCCTAGGGGTGGGGAAAGGCCGGTGGGAGGGTCAGGAGTGTACAGAACAGCCCCGTGTAGCTGCGTCTGGTCGGCCTCAAGTGCCTCCTACATGGGGACCAGCTCCTGGGGGTGACCACGGTGGCTGAATGTGAGTCATCATAGGGGTATTGCTTGTCCCCTTGCCGAGGGCCGTGCAGTGCCCCCATGTTCTGCTATCTGATCTATATCCTGGTAGGCACCTGTGCGGCCACTGAGCGTCTACTCAGTGCCAGCCCCACTTGTAGGCCCCTTCCAGTGCACACCCAGAGTGAGACGATTCAGCTGGTGAGAGGGTGTGAGGCGTCAGCCAAGGGATGGTTGGGCGGGGGGCTGACAGCCACACCCCTTCTTGCCCACAGTGCAACCAGAGACCCCTCTACCTCTGTCCCAGCCCCTGGAGCCCCCCAGACCACAGAGGGGGAGAAGAGCCCAGAGCCCGTGGGGCCTCCCCAAAGCCAGAGGTGAGCAGGTGGGCAGCAGGTGGGCAGGGTGGGGCCGGTGGGGCAGAAAGTGACTCTGGGGTGTCCCTTTTCTCCTTGGCAGTGCCCCGCAGCCTCCTCCGATGCCCAGCGGCTCCGTCTCGGGAGGGCCTGCGTCCCTGGGCCCCCAATGAGTGTGGCCGCGGCCAGGGGGATGGGTCTGCTGGACCCTCACTCAACATCTCCCTCTGTTCCCAGGTAGCTGCCTGGCCGCGGCGGCCAGATCCTCCGCCCTCCTCATGGACCTCCTGGGTGGGGGCAGGGCGGGTCCCCCATGGCCCCCGTTGCCCTCATCACCCCGACCCCCACGTTATCTCCTCTGGACTCCCAGGAGGCTGGTGCCAGGGAGACGGCCCCCCACCCCATTTGCACTGAGAAGAGAGGTTTGGGAGCTTTGCCTCCTAGAATAAAGATATAGAGAGTCCGATAGAAAGCAGAGAGAGACGTATATTATATGTTATATAGAGAGAGGGAGGAGCTCCGAGAGCAGCGAGGACGCTGTGCTAGGCTGGGGCCCTGAGCACAACCCTCCTGTCCCGTTTCAGTGGGGGTTGGCGTTGGCGTCACGCTCCGGTTGCCCCATGCTGTGGTGCAGACGCCCACACCCACATCTGGTCCTTCAGCTCAGGTCCAGCTCGGGGGATGGCCCAGCGAGCACGGGGGCATCAGCGGGGCCCGAGTAGGGGCTGTGCCTTTGCCCAGACCCTGCACTTTCACCCAGGCCGGCCAGCTCTGGGGAGCAGGGGCCTCACAACAACATCCCCAGGGGCCCTGAATCGGGGTTTGGCTGGATCCCCCTGCACCCCAAGGGCCTGGGGTTCCAGCCCCATTGCCAAGTGGCCTTGTCCCAGCTCCCTCCTCCCAGGCTGGCGTGAGTGTGTGCGCGTTCGTGCCGAGCTTTTATTTCATATTGCAAATATAAATAAAGGAAGACAGTTTACGATTCCTGCTGGTCAGACCTTGAGTTCTGGGATAGGTTGGGGTGAGCCTGTGCTGTCCTGTGCCCCAGCCCCAGGGCCTCCCATGCCTGCCGCAGGTCACCTGGGGAGAGCGGCCAGTGACCTTGACTAGCTCCTCTGTGGGACTCTGCTCCTAAATCTTGACTGCTGGCCCAGGCCTGGCCTTGGGGAGGTGAAAGAGGGTGTAACTTGTGTTCAAACCAGGCAGGGACTTCGGGAGGAAGGGACCTGGAAGGGATCAGGTGAGCTGTCACTCCAGGCCCCTCTAGCCCCTGTTCAAGCCCCACGTGTGCTGGGCTACACGTACAGGCTGGAGGGGTCTTCCTAGCCAGTCTGTCCCCTCTGTATGCTGAGGACTGGCCAGGAGATCACTGGGTGCCGTGTCCTGCCAGAGGGATTCTTGTGACAGCAGAGGCCCCAGGCTGGGCCAGGTGCTGGCTGCGGAGGGTTCGTGTGAGGCCTGTTTCTCACCACTGCTGGCAGGCCCACTGGGGAAGGATTGCTCTGCAGCTTCCTGAGCCAGTCCCCTGGTGGGAAGCAGGCAGCTGTCTCATGGGTGGTGTGGGCACCTAGCGGCCCCTCCCTGCCCCATCAGCCAGGCCCGAGGGTGAGGCTGGGCCCCTGCACCTAGTAGGTCTGCATCTTCAGACAGGAGGGTTGAAGTAAAGACCAGGTGTGCAGTGCAGGTGAGTGCTGCAGGTAAGTGGTGTTCTGGGAAACCTTCGTCTTGGTTAGGCACAATGACAGTCATCAACTGGGTCACAGTTGGTTTGGGAGCCACTGCAGGTTGCCTGGGGCTCAGCTGGCAGGAACAGCTACAGCCCTGTCTCAGCACTCAGATGTCTGAGTCAGTGTTTGTGGTGGAGGTCATTGACAGCCCAGAGGGCTGCTTGTGAGGGTCGAGAGAAGGTTGAAGCAGGAGAGAGACCCCCTTCCCATCCCTCCAGCATGGTTCCCACTGGCCAGCTCCCTCCCCGGCTTCCCCAGAATGAGTGGCCATTGGAATTCTGCACCCTGTCCCTTCTGATGGGCTGGGCACAGGACAATGGGAGGACATTTGTGGGCCGCATCCCCCAGGCAGACAGGAGGAAGCCACATCCCAGTGTGCTGGGGCAGAGGGACCCCTGGGTCCTGACAGGTGCCTTATCAGCAGGTGCCAGGCGAGGCCATCCCCAGGGTGGGAGTGACATCTCCCTGGGCCCTGTTATCAGTCAAAGAGTCCACAGCACACTCCTCAGGTTAACGTGTAACCACAAGCCCTCCCCTTCGCCCCCGGAAGCCAGCAGCTCCCAGACACAGGCCGCTCTGGGGCTGTCACAGGCCAACATGGACGCTGGCAAGGAGGGGCTGCCCCTGAGGATCCACTGCTTAGTCCAAGTGAGAGCCTCCGCAGGTGTGGGGCGGTTGGGGCCTGGGCTTCTGGGCACCCGGCAGCCTGGGGCTTCTGTCCTTGGAGACTTGTTTGGGGCCCCCAGGAGGCTGGGTGTCTGAGTTGCTTAGAAAGCTGAAGAGCCCGGTCCCTAGCTAGGCCCAGCCTGGGCAGCTTGGGTCCTGGGGTGGGCGGTGGTGGGACAGAAGCCAGGAGATTTGAGTTGCAATCTGGTGGGGCCTGACTCAAAAACTGGGGGGCTGAGCTCAGTGGCTCAGCAGCACCCCCTCCTCCCCGAAAAGCCCCCGAACATCTGCAGGTGGCTGAGCCCCTTCTTCCTCACCTGCTCCATCTACTTCCTGCTCTGGATTCCCGAGGACCAGCCATCCTGGGTCAGCGCCCTGGTCAAGTGCCTGCCCATCCTCTGCCTGGCTGCGTTCCTGTGGGCCGTGCCCTCGGGCGGGGACTACACCCGGCTCCTCCAGGCAGCCCTGGTGTGCTCAGCCGTGGGGGACGCCTGCCTAATCTGGCCCGGGGCCTTCCTCGCTGGTAAGCTGGGACCCTGTTGTGAAGCATCCCAGCTGCCCATGTGGAGGAGCCTGGGGTGCAGGGAGGCTTCTGCTGGAGCTCATGGCCCAGGCACTGGGGACGTGGCAGGGACCCAGGCAGCTCACGGTTAGCAAAGGCGTGGGGTCAGATGACATTAGGTCAGAAGGTGGGGGTGGTGTGGAAGAAGGTTAAGATGAGGTTGTAATAAGCAGGGTGGCCAAGGCAGGCCTTGCCGAGGAAGTAAGGTTCGGGCAGTCTGGAAGGAGGTGCGTGTGCACGCTGGGGAAGAGCGTTTGTGGCAGGCCCAGAGGTCCGGGGTAGGCTGTACCCGGTGCGCGTGTCCAACAGGCCAGGGTGGCCGGAGCAGAGTGGCTGGCAGGCGGAGGGCATGGGGCTGTGGAGGCCAAGTGAGGACAGGGTGTGGGGGTTCTGCACAGAGGAAGGGCACACACTGCATCAAAGGTCACACCCACTGCTCTAAGCCACTTGGGAAGCTGAGGGCAGCTCTGGGAGGCTCTGCCAAGGCGGGGGCTGGTGCTTGGGGATAGTCCCTCCCTCAGGCCCTGAGTGGTGGCTGAGGGAGATGGAGAAGCAGCAAAGCCCTCACTGTCCTCTCTCTATCACCAGGCATGGCTGCCTTTGCCTTGGCCCACGTCCTCTACTCCTGGGCCTTTGGCTTCTCTCCCCTGCGCCCAGGACTGCTGCTGCTCATCCTCCTGGCCCCCGTCCTGAGCTACAGACTCCTGTGGCCGTACCTCGAGCCTGGCATGGTCCTGCCCATGGCAGCCTACGAGCTGGTCCTGAGCGTCATGCTGTGGCGGGGCCTGGCCCGCGGCGGCAGTGCCGGCTGGGGGGCCCTGCTCTTCGCCGTCTCTGACGCCGTGCTGGCCTGGGACACCTTCGCCCAGCCCCTGCCCTACGCCCGCCTGGTGACCATGAGCACCTACTATGCCGCCCAGCTCCTTATCACGTGGTCAGCCCTTGGCAGCCCGGGGCCCAAGACCGACTGACTCGGGGGCCAGCCAGGCTGGCGTCCATGTCCTCCCCTTCTGCAAGGACTCCCACCTGGGAAACGCTCTCCGCCTGGAAGCTTCCTGACTCCTGTCTGTGGGCGCTGGGCCATCTCAAGACATTTGGGGACCATTTGGGGAATTCAAAGTCCACCGCCGGGTTCTGGCCTCCCTCCCTCAGTTCTGATTCCAGGCTCTGCAGCCAGACCCACCCTAGGCCCTCCCCAGCTCCTGCCTGCTTCTGTGTTCCCCGTCGGCCCCACGGTCGGCCAGCCCCCTCCCCACTGTTGTCTGATTTTCATTGCCTAAGTAAAGGGATGTGGAAATGTCCATGTTGCCATTATTTTGGGAGAGCGGTCTGGGAAGGATTTTCCTTGTCGTCATGATCACGATTGATAATGGCAAGTGTTTCTCGGTACCTCCCCAGGAACGAGGCCTGGTACCAGATCAGGTCCTCCTGGGGCCCCTGTTTCAGGTGCGCACTGTACTGTACGGAGCTGAGACCAAGACAAGACTGGTCACTGGAGTGGTTTCTCAGGGCTACTGTCACAAAGTACCACGAGCCGGGTGCCATGAGATACAAGATAAACTTACTCTCGTATAGGTCAGGCAGCCCAGAGTCGAGGTGTGTTCAGGGCCACATTCCCTGCGAGGGCTCGGGGGAATCCTTGCCCTCCTGTGGCTTCTGGTGGTTGCAGCAGGCTGTGTCACTACCACTCGTCTTCACCTCTGCCTGCCTAGTTCTCCCCCACGTCTCTGCCCTCTGCTTCTCTCGGCACCTGTCATGGGTTTGGGGCCCACTCTAAGCCAGGATGGTTCCCTCTCAAGACCCTTAGTTACATCTGCAGAGACCTTATTTCTAATATCACGTTCATAGGTGCCAGGGGGTAGGACTCAGACACATCTTTTTAGGGGACATGGCTCAACCCACTCCCAGTCATGTGGTGTGGGAGGAGGGGGTGAGGGGACTAGAAGGTGAAGGGACCTTGGACGAGGGGGTAGGGAGCAAGGGGTGGGAATTGAGTGGTAAGGAAGTACGAACCCAGCTGCGGTCCTCTGGCTGTGTGACCTTTTGAAGCTGCTGCTCTCTGGGCCTCGGGTTCTGCCTCTGAGCACATGACAGGTCCGAGCTGCTGAGACCCTGCTCGACTTTTGCACCCATGAGCTGCCTTTAGGGACTCTGACAGCAGAGGAGACTGCTACCGTTAGGATGTGGATCTGAATACCGCAAAGAGGAGAGCAGAGTTCCTGCAGGTGTGAGGGTAGGAGGGGAAGGTGGGCCAGCCTGGTGCGGGGGCCAAGGGTGGAGGTGAGGCTGGGAGTAGGTGGAAGCTGAGGAATTTCCCCGAGGAAGGGTCAGAGCAGGAGGTGAGGAAGATCTGAAGGGCCAGCTTCTCACACTTGAAACTTCCACTTCCTCCTACTCTCCTGTCCTCCCTGCGCTGGGACCTCACGAAAAGGCTGGGAAAGAGGAAATTCAGCAGCGTCAAGTGCAGCAGGAGGGATGGTGGGGTCTGGGAGTGCGGATTCCAGGGGGGCTCAGGGCCTGCAGACAGGAGCAGGGGTCTGGGGTGCTGGTGGTGGTGTTCCCCATGGTCCCGGGACCAGCCTCTGGGGGTCTGCGGCCTGAAAATCCTGAGTTTGGAGAAGGGAGCTGACAACCCAGACCCCTGGGTCTGAGGGAGGAGGGGCTGGGCCCTACTGTCTCCCTTGTCCTGGGCCTAATGAGTCAGGTGACAGGACACCGAGGGCTGTGGTGGCTCCAGCGGAACCATGAGCAGTAGCAGGGCAGGTGGCGTCCTTGTTACACAGCTGGAACTTCTGCCCCTGCACCCCTGCCAGCTGCGACCTCCCACAGGTCCCCCTCAGCCAGATGGCACAGTGTTCCCTGGTAACTTGCTGGGGTGGGACGGGGCAGCCCCCCGGGTGCAGTCAGCTTCCCAGTAACGTCCCTGCCCGGGAGTTAGACTGTGTCTACCTCCTGTTAGATACTTTGCTTTGGTTCAACAAAAACTGCTTTTTCCTTTTTTCTTTTTTTTTTTGAGACAGAGTCTCACTCTGTTGCCCAGGCCAGAGTGCCGTGATGTCAGCCTCGCTCACAGCAACCTCAAACTCCTGGCTCAAGCAATCCTGCTGCCTCAGCCTCCCAAGTAGCCGGGACTACAGGCATGCGCCACCATGCCTGGCTAATTTTTTTATATATATTTTTAGTTGGCCAATTGACTTCTTTCTAGTTTTAGTAGAGATGGGGTCTCACTCTTGCTCAGGCTGTTTTCAAACTCCTGACCTTGAGTGATCCTCCCGCCTCAGCCTCCCAGAGGGCTAGGATTACAGGTGTGAGCCACCGCACCCGGCCTGCTTTTTGAGGGCCTTTTTTGGGGACTGGGGTGATGGAACAGTTCTGAATCCCGACTGTGGTAGTAGTTACACAAATCTATACATGTGTTAAAATTCATAGAACTGTATGCCAAAAGGAGAAAAAATTCACTTTCTATAGGATAATTATTTTAAAAATAAAAATTAAAGAAGAAAAGGAAAGAAGAAGAAAAATAGGAAGCCTGCCTTCATGTCCCCGGCCCAGCCTGGGGATGCCCCGCCCCTGTCTGACTCACCTCCCTGCTGTGTCTGCTCCCTGCCACCCCTCGGTGTGGGCACAGGACGCACTAGCACTCTCGTCACCCCACATGTGCTCACCTGTCAGCCGGAGGCCAAGGACCACGTGGGGCCTTTCGAGTGTGAGATGCGCAGGAGCCTCCCTGGGGTGGCTTAGGGGAAGCTCAGCCACCAGAGGGGCTGTGGCGTCCGGTCACATGTCCGGTCACACGTCTCAGAAGTGGCTGGAGTTGAATTCCAGCTTGGATAGTTTATAACTGGACCAAGGGCTCTTGACCACCAAGCCACACTCGCTCTAAGTTTACTGATGTCCTGGTGTCCACAGGCATATGGGGGACACAGCAAATAGACATGCCTGTGTACACATGTGCATTCTGAATACACGCACATGCACAGTCGGCCTTTTGTGTCCATGGGTTCCACATCTGCAAATTCAACCAACTGCAGGTTGAAAATATGTGAAAAATAAAAAATAACCTGTAATCCTAGCACTCTGGGAGGCCGAGGCGGGCGGATTGCTTGAGGTCAGGAGTTCGAAACCAGCCTGAGCAAGAGCAAGACCCTGTCTCTACTATAAATAGAAAGAAATTAATTGGCTAACTAATATATATAGAAAAAATTAGCCAGGCATGGTGGCGCATGCCTGTAGTCCCAGCTACTCGGGAGGCTGAGGCAGGAGGGTTGCTTGAGCCCAGGAGTTTGAGGTTGCTGTGAGCTAGGCTGACGCCACGGCACTCACTCTAGCCTGGGCAACAAAGCGAGACTCTGTCTCAAAAATAAATAAAAAAAGTAAAAAATAACACAATAATAAAAACAAATTTAAAAACAGCACAATAACTATATAGCATTTACTGTGTTAGGTATGTAAGTAATCTAGAGGTGGTTTAAAGTATGCGGGAGGACGTGTGCGGGTCACGTGCAAATGCTATACCACCTTATATATAAGGAACTTGAGCATCTTTGGATTTTGGCGTCCGTGCTGGTTTCTGGAATTGATCTCCCACAGTTACTGACAGTCTCTCTCTGTCTCTCTTATAACCACCTGCAAAGTTAGGAGTAGTCCACAGTACCCCCCCCTCCACTTCTGACACCATTTGTAAACCAGGAGGTCCCCAAGACTGTCCTCACATGTGATGATTCCCTGGGACTCACAGAGCTCAGTGAGAGCCACCATACTCACAGTTATGGTGTGTTACAGAGAAGGGACACAGAGTGACATCAGCCAGGGTAATAGGCGCAGGGCACAGGGTCCAGGAAGGTTCCATGCATGGAGCTTCCAGTTGTGCTTTCTCTCTCTGGAGTCACGAGTGGCGCTAACTCCTCCCAGCGGCAATGTGTGACAGCCACAGAGAACGTTGCCAGCCAGGGACGTTCCCATGAGCCAAGCCGTGTGCCCAGCGTCTTTGCTGGGGGTGTGAACACACAGGCATGGTTGCAGTTCTGTTTGGCTGAGCTCAGTGTCCAGCTGCCTGGAGGCAGAGCAGATGCCTCGTGACCCAGAGTCCATCATGTTACATTGTTTGACTGTCGGGTGTGGCCCAAGGCTCCCCAGAAAACTAGGACACTCCCATAAGGCAGGACATTTTGGGGGTGTAGGCATCATTTCCCAGTAGTTGAGGACAAAGGTCAGAGCTCCTTGGGTGTGGTTAACTCATTCACCAAGCCATGTTTTCCAGAGTCCCCCAGCCTAGCTCTGCTTCTCCCATGACTGTGACCACACACAGCTCACCACACATGCGCAGGGTGTTCTCCAGGCAGCTGCGGGGAGGAGCTGTGGACGACTGTCTCCATGTGGGTCTAGTGGATGCCCCTGCTTGCTTCTGGAGTTGTGGGACACTGTTATGTTCACTCCCAGACCTCTAGGCACCCAGGCTGGTGTACATGTGAGTCTGCCCCATGTTTGGTATCCAGAGGTTCTGAAAAGGATTCTGGGAATTAGTACCAGGAGTGGGGTTTTCATATCAGCAATGCTCCAGGGTAACACGCAGGTAACGTGGATTCTGTGATGGCAAAGTAGACAACGATGAACCCCATCTCTAATGATCTAACATCCCCTGGTCACCGAGGAGTTCGTAAACCTTCTTGTCCTGAACCCCTGTACCCCAAAGCAGTCTCCATCTTTAGGTATAGGAATAGAAGGTTCAGAGAAAGTGAATCCTGCTTAGAGGCTCAGACCACAGAGCCAAAGAGAACAGAGGAAAACGGCTAAGGCAGGTTCAGAATTTTGTCCCCTGAGTGGCGTGCCCAGCAGGGCCTCCCAACATGGGGTCAGCCCTTCACCTAGACTCTTCTCCCTGTTCATACGAACCCAATACATGGTCCTGCATGAGACTCTCCTGCGATTCCTGAAGTCAGCACGACAGGTGCAGGCTGGGGTAGCACACTGGCGAGAGAGTGTCTGGCAGGACGTAGACGTGGCTGGTGGTCTTTATGAGGGTGTGGCTGGGCATGTGGGGTTTTTTTGGAGGACACAAACAGTTACTTCCCTCGAGAATCTGCCCTGCAGTGGGATTGCTGAGTTTCTGGCGTATGTGCCCTTAGCTCTAGTAGTTACTGCCAAACCGTTTCCCAAAGGGCTTTACCAATTTATCCTCCTACCACCAATGTAGGGGTGCCTCACCCCTACATTTGCCTCATGAACTTGCAAATAGTTCTTGTTTGCCTTTTTCATTTTAGCTCTTCTGATGGGCTGTCTGTCCTGCTACTTCCTTTGGCTT